CAGTAAAGTGACAGCTTGTATTTGAATATTTGCTTGCATCTTTGTTTTAAACACAAAAGAAGTATTATCTGGTTATAATCAATGTTAACCATGCAAATCCAGGATTAGTCCTTGACCATGTCCTAACCAGGAAATTTAATCAGTGTTGTTACTGTAAGCTAAAAATTTTATTAATTTTTGAGTAATTAAAACAAAGCTGAAATAAAATAAGACGATAAACAGAGAAATTGGCTAAAAACGTGCTGCTTTGGAAATGGACTGAAATTAAAATCAGTTGAAGTACTAAAATTACTAAAACTAAAACAAATAAAATAAATGAAAGCTATAAAAATAATAGAAAAAGTACATTCTAGCTATAGAAATATTAATAAAACAAGAACAAATAAAAAATGACAAAAGCATGTAACGAAATTACTTAAAATAAATTGAAAACTGAAAATATAAAAGCTAATAAAAATAGAATATAAATACTAAAATAACATTGGATGCAATAAAATTATAAAACAATGAAGCGTGTGTTTTTCATGTAGCTTACAGTTTTTGTCTGGCAAACAGCAATGACTGACATTTTGTTGATTGCTTAGTTCCTATTTCAATAGCATTACTGTGTAACCCTGCCCACAATGAATCTCATTGGTCCAAAATGGTCTGCTCTTCATAATTGTCTATTAAACATTAAAAATGGTTTAACTGGCAGTTATTGTGCAGCATCTTGTAGCATTTTTGCTTTCAAAGTTTCTTTTGATTGTTTGGTTTTTGATTATTGATGTGTAATTCAGCAATTTTATCTTTCATTTGTGTGTGTGGTTTATTTTTATTTATTTTATTTTTTTGAGTAGATGTTGGAGTCTTGTCACGTCTGGTTAGGAAACGTATTTAGAAAACAGCTGTTTTATTTGACAGACCTTGTTCTTTTGCAAGGTTTAACTGGGTCTCTGTTTAATTGGCAGTTATTTTAAAGCAACAGTCTCCATGCTTTTCCATTTTTTCCTCTAAAACCTTTTTCATTCTCTCTGTAATTGGTTTTCAATACTCCGCTCCAGGGCTGTCTTTCTATTGTTATTCTTAGGTGGTACAAATGACTGGGCCCTAGTCCCTCGTCTATTTCAACATAATTCAGTGAATGAAAAAGAAGATCCATGCCTCAGGTCTCAGAGAACATGTTATGAAAACCCTTTCCCCTTTAGTCTTAACCTTCTGCTTCTCAGAGGCTCTGACTCTGTCAAGTGCTCATTGTAAAATGACCTCTGGACAGCTGGGCATGTGAGCTCATACATATATGTATGTCTGTGCGTACGGTAGAATCAAGCTCTTTAAGACTCATTAATGCGATTAGCTGCTACAACTAAGCTATTTAGTATTTGTAATCTCATCCTTTCTAATGCTTCTTTTATTTTAAGCTTTTTTATATTAATCAGATTCATTAATCAGGTTATATCACAAGAGGATTCACAAAAATCTTATAATAGTGATGAAATTTCTTAAGATAAATTAGAATTAGTTTGTATGTCAAGTTCTTGTTCAAAATGCTGCTTTTTTGCGCTGCTTGCAGGTTACCGTAATAATCATAATAGGCGCACTGTTTTTGTTGCAACTGGCTTGATGGGAGTTGAACATGTCCTATGTAAGAATGTTTTCATATGTGCTGAACGCTGCTTAAAATTTTCATAATTATAAAATTGGCAGATTTTACCTTTGTGGTTTTAAGACAAGTCTTAAAGGGTTAGTTCACCCAAAAATTAAGATTCTGTCATTAATTACTAAACCCATAAAACCTTCGTTCATCTTCGGAACACGAATTAAGATATTTGTGATGAAATCCAAGAGCTTTCTGAACCTGCATAGACAGCAATGCAACTGACACATTCAAGGCCCAGAAAGGTAGTAAGGATATTGTTAAAATAGTCCATGTGACATCAGTGGTTTTTGTGCGCAAAGAAAACAAAAATAATGACTTTATTCAACAATTTCTTGAACATGGTAGTTGCTCTGCTGTCTGTGCAGGGTCAGAAAAAAAAAAGGATTTCATCAAAAATATCCGTGTTTTAAAATAAAATATAAATAAAAATATAAATGTTCCGAAGATGAACAAAGGTCTTAAGTGTTTTGGAACGACATGAGGGTGTGTAATTTCTATTTTTGGATGAACTGTCCCATTAATTTAAGTAGTTGTAAGCATGCATACTCACACATTTTTGTGTGAAATCTGTGTATGAATGTCTTTATGAACCAATTATAATTCACCAAAAACTTTGATACTTTAATATTTTCTAAATGTAGGAAAAAATGTAGGAAAAATTTAAATCACGTGCACAAAAAAGCAGACAATTATAAGTGTTAAGATGAAATTTCTATTTCCCAATTTTGGGCACATGGTTGCTCATTCAGAGTACTCCAAATTCATTAACTTTAGAACAAACTGATGGGCATACACGTGTGTTGTGAATGAGATGTTCTCCTGTGTGTACAAATACAAAAAAAATCCATGCAATTACTAGTGAATGACATCTTTTTTTTTTTTTAAGAACAATCCTAAGTTAGAAAATAAGATTGTACTTTTAAGACCTTTTCATGAATCGAAGGGGTTTCCTTGCATCAAGCCATGCTGAAAAAATGGGCTATTCAGAAACAGTTGTCATGTCACATTAATTAAGCACATTAACATATAGTCACCTCCATTTTAGCATTTGTATCAAACTGTGTTGAAATCCTGCACCGTAGTGCAGCTTCTGAAGTGCTGTTGAGCAGTTGCAGACATTGCTCTCCGCAGTGCTTCCAACTCTCATTTGTCTGCACTGCCTCCATCCATCACCACCAAGCTCTGCTTATCAGCATGGGGTCAGTTCCTGCCCTCTCTACCAAGGCCTACATTTAGCCCTGGCCTTGCGCAGCCTTGTCTAGCTGGGGCCAGACACTTGGCCCTTATCAGACGGGGTCTGAGAGTGGTAAATAAAGGTCTGGCCCGGGCTACTGCAGGCTGTCAGCAGGCCCGTCCCAGAGGGGAAATAAAACTCTTATTAACATGCTTCTGCTCATTGGTGCTGACAGCTTGATCAATCTGCCTCCTCTGCAGATGACCTCTGTGAACCACCGGATGCCCTGATGGAGACTGAAACGAATAGCTTGAGTTGCGCCATGGCCTCAAATCTGATACTGCAATACTCTGAGGCATTTTTAGACTTTTTTTTAATCACCTTACCAACTAGTCTACTTTGAAAATCGTTTTTGATAATACTGTCAACTTTTGCATATGTGTGAGAACAGCATGCAGGTATGCGTATGATGATTTCGACATTTATGAAGTGTGTAAAATGCGTCTGTCTGCTCCCACAGGACCCCGTGGTTTAATGGATGGGGCTTTAACTTACCTCGTGGCCAGTCTCTCCTCGATAAGTGGAACCAGATCCCTGAAGATGTAGATATTCTTATGACACATGGGCCTCCTCTGGGTAAGCACTGAAATGCGGATGTAACTGTAGATGTAGAGCATGTATACATCAGTTTGTGTCTGCAGATAGACTGTTGTATTTTAAAGTCATCATAAATGTGGTGATACGCCACTAAGGATGTGATGTTGGACTTTGTCCAGGGTTCAGAGATTGGGTCCCAAAAGAACTTCAGAGAGTTGGCTGCGTGGAACTACTCAACACAGTACAAAAGAGGGTCCGACCCAAACTCCACGCATATGGGGGAATCCATGAAGGTAAGAGCTTTGCACACTTATATAACATTTTATATATATAATGTATATAAAATGTTCAAAATATTAAAGTAATAATAAAAATATTACAAATTGTAATATATTTCAAATAATATATATGCGGATAAAGTATAAATGTGTAAAGTGTATATAAAACAAATGTATAAAAATGTTTTCTTTCTCATTCTCAGGCTATGGTATAATGACAGATGGCTATACAACATTTATCAACTCCTCCACATGTACAGTCAGCTTCCAGCCTACCAATCCACCAATCATATTTGATCTCCCCAACCCTGGAAACTCCTGAGACTCATTAAACCCCACCCCTTTTTCTACATAACTTTTCCTTACTTAAAAGTAAGTCTTTTTGTACTGCTTGTATTTAAAAATGCATGGAAATGTAATTTTTTTTTAAAGTCGGATTGAAGCCGACACCATTTGAATGACTATTGTAGGTAAAGAATAAATTGTGAATTCATATATGTAAGTTGTTTGCATCAGTTGCCTTCTGTTTTTTTCTTTTTTTATTGGTCAGGATCTTAAAAAGTGCATTATAAAGGTACTCCCAAAAGCGTCAGCAATACTTGACCATGTCTTATTTAATATTAATTGTGCTTTGTAAATTTAATATAAACTTATTTAAAGTTATGAACTCTTTGTGTGGTGTATTCAATTTTGGATTTAAATGAGTAAGTGCGTACTTCACCCCGTCAAAGGGTTCAATGGGTCTGATATTTATTACTCCAATCAGACTTTGCTCTTTTCTCATCAAGAAGACACATCTTTATCTACCAGGCCATTAAACACCATAAGACAAGCATTCTTCCTTTCAACATAAAATAGAGTGGCACAGTTTATCAAAAGATGGAAGCGATTGTGTGTTGTGAATTGAATTTCGCATTATTGCTATGCTGCTTTTGTCCTACAATTACAGTTTAGAAAAGGCTGAATATGCAAATTCTCCAGATCGCAGGCTGTCAGCAGGCCCGTCCCAGAGGGGAAATAAAACTCTTATTAACATGCTTCTGCTCATTGGTGCTGACAGCTTGATCAATCTGCCTCCTCTGCAGATGACCTCTGTGAACCACCGGATGCCCTGATGGAGACTGAAACGAATAGCTTGAGTTGCGCCATGGCCTCAAATCTGATACTGCAATACTCTGAGGCATTTTTAGACTTTTTTTTAATCACCTTACCAACTAGTCTACTTTGAAAATCGTTTTTGATAATACTGTCAACTTTTGCATATGTGTGAGAACAGCATGCAGGTATGCGTATGATGATTTCGACATTTATGAAGTGTGTAAAATGCGTCTGTCTGCTCCCACAGGACCCCGTGGTTTAATGGATGGGGCTTTAACTTACCTCGTGGCCAGTCTCTCCTCGATAAGTGGAACCAGATCCCTGAAGATGTAGATATTCTTATGACACATGGGCCTCCTCTGGGTAAGCACTGAAATGCGGATGTAACTGTAGATGTAGAGCATGTATACATCAGTTTGTGTCTGCAGATAGACTGTTGTATTTTAAAGTCATCATAAATGTGGTGATACGCCACTAAGGATGTGATGTTGGACTTTGTCCAGGGTTCAGAGATTGGGTCCCAAAAGAACTTCAGAGAGTTGGCTGCGTGGAACTACTCAACACAGTACAAAAGAGGGTCCGACCCAAACTCCACGCATATGGGGGAATCCATGAAGGTAAGAGCTTTGCACACTTATATAACATTTTATATATATAATGTATATAAAATGTTCAAAATATTAAAGTAATAATAAAAATATTACAAATTGTAATATATTTCAAATAATATATATGCGGATAAAGTATAAATGTGTAAAGTGTATATAAAACAAATGTATAAAAATGTTTTCTTTCTCATTCTCAGGCTATGGTATAATGACAGATGGCTATACAACATTTATCAACTCCTCCACATGTACAGTCAGCTTCCAGCCTACCAATCCACCAATCATATTTGATCTCCCCAACCCTGGAAACTCCTGAGACTCATTAAACCCCACCCCTTTTTCTACATAACTTTTCCTTACTTAAAAGTAAGTCTTTTTGTACTGCTTGTATTTAAAAATGCATGGAAATGTAATTTTTTTTTAAAGTCGGATTGAAGCCGACACCATTTGAATGACTATTGTAGGTAAAGAATAAATTGTGAATTCATATATGTAAGTTGTTTGCATCAGTTGCCTTCTGTTTTTTTCTTTTTTTATTGGTCAGGATCTTAAAAAGTGCATTATAAAGGTACTCCCAAAAGCGTCAGCAATACTTGACCATGTCTTATTTAATATTAATTGTGCTTTGTAAATTTAATATAAACTTATTTAAAGTTATGAACTCTTTGTGTGGTGTATTCAATTTTGGATTTAAATGAGTAAGTGCGTACTTCACCCCGTCAAAGGGTTCAATGGGTCTGATATTTATTACTCCAATCAGACTTTGCTCTTTTCTCATCAAGAAGACACATCTTTATCTACCAGGCCATTAAACACCATAAGACAAGCATTCTTCCTTTCAACATAAAATAGAGTGGCACAGTTTATCAAAAGATGGAAGCGATTGTGTGTTGTGAATTGAATTTCGCATTATTGCTATGCTGCTTTTGTCCTACAATTACAGTTTAGAAAAGGCTGAATATGCAAATTCTCCAGATCATAAAGATACTGTACCTGGTCTGATTTAGCATTTAGCACATATTAAAAGTGGACGAGAACTTTCAATATAATTGGGTCTGCCTCAGGAGATATACAGAGATAAATCTGGTATCTCTCTGTAAAGATTCAAACACAATTGTTTATCCCAGATTTGCAAAAGCTTCTCATTCTATTGGTTTCAAAACTGGAAATGACATTACAACACTAAGCCATTTCATTTCTCCTCATCTCCATTTTTAGTTGTTGTAATAATGTGCATTGTATATTTCACTGTGGATCTGCAATCTTGAGCACAAAAAAGTTTTCTGTATTTTCTGCTATTGTGAATGCTTTCTTTATATGTTTTGTGACTTTTTTATCCATTGTGACATTTAGCCAAGTTTATATGCAAATAAAACTGCAAGATTTTTATCTGATGTCTGTCATTTATCTTTTTGTCTTGCAAGTCAGTCAATAGAAATATTATCAACATTTATACACCCTTAAGTCTCTCCAAACCTGATTTAGTTTCTTCTGTGGCACACAAAAGAAGTTTAGAAGAATATATTGAGCTGTTTTTTCCCCACACAATTAAAGTGAATGGTGACTAGGGACTGTCAAATATCAAATCAAATGCATAATAAAAATAGTCTTAAAGCCAATATACTGAAATATTGCTTTACTGTGTGTGCTTACAATTCACTTTCATTGTATGGAAAAGAGCAACTTGTACAACTTTTAGAAATATATTCTTTTTTTTCTTCTTTTTTTTTGCTTCACAAAAGAAAGTCATATTGGTTAGGTTGAGTAAATGACAAATGTTTCATTTTTGGGTTAACCATCCCTTTAAAAGTTTTATTTCTTTCCCACACAGTACATAACGATACATTTTATCTGTAGTTTAGCAACGGCTTTGATTGATTAATGAAGTCTATTAATTACCCCACATCTGTCAGACTTGAAAAAGAATAGATAGCGCTGACAGGGATGGCCATAACCTCGTGTTGTCCTGTCAGATGCTATTGATCGTGGAAATTTGTCAGCGCAGCCTTGGCATGCTCGTCTGATGGATGTCACAGGCTGATGCTAACTCTGACCCCATGTGCTCCCGCTGATAGCAGCGGCAAAGATGTTCAATCAGCCGATGCTTCACAGTGTCAACTGACGCTAAACGCTAAAAAGAAGATGCAGAACGGGTCGTTTTTTTCATCAGCATAACATCAGACTCTCAAGCTCAGGTTTAATACATGAGATCAGACGCGACGCTTGGTTTCACATACCCTTCCCCCAAGCAAAAACGTTTATATCTTGAAAGTGTCCTGGAATTTTGGGAGAGCGCTGTTTCCTGTTCCTTCTATTATACAATCATGACCTGCTCCCTTTTGTGGAACCCATAGAGTAAAATTGTAGAACATTCCCATTAGGGATAGATTTTTCCATAAATAGATAGAAAGAGACACACATTCTAATACATATATAATGGTTTCATTTCAGGAGGTATATCATTTGTACTTGATATACATCGCTCTGAAATACTCAAATCTGATTGGTAAATCACCGCACCTAGAATATTTCCTAATATTCACTATTGTCTATAAAAATGCTTATCCGGTACCAGGTCCTTCACACCAAAAATTATAACTAGGCCAATAAAGATAGCTATAACTATATTAGCATCCACATCAACGGACGATAATGTTCTGTTAATTATAAGCCCACGCTGCAGTTTTATCGTCTGCTGCTTTAAATGCTCGGTCTCTTTAAAGTGGATTCTGATTGGCTGTAAATGTTTTTCATGTTCATCAGCTGGAAAAAAATATCCTGTTTCCAATTATATCATTCCTCTTTGTCCTTATCGTTAAGGCCCGTTCACACCAGTCATTATTTTTGTTTTCTTTGTGCACAAAAGTCTCGTAGCTTCAAAAAATAGTTGAACCACTGATGTCACATGGACTATTTTAACAATGTCCTAACTACCTTTCTGGGCCTTGAATGTGGTAGTTGCATTGCTGTCTATGCAGGGTCAGAAAGCTCTCAGATGTCATCAAAAATATCTTAATTTGTGTTCCGAAGATGAATGAAGGTCTTACGGGTTTGGAACGACGCGAGGGTGAATAATTAATGACAGAATTTTCATTTTTGGGTGAACTGTCACTTTAATGTCTATCTTGTTCCATGTGTAACACCAGTCATTTGTGTCACCTTGTGTTACAGGACATTCCCTATTCTTTCCAGTCCTTTCTTAATCCTAATAACAATCTTAATCCTATGCTTAACCTGATCTTGATCTTGAAACAAATCCTAATCCCTTCCATCCCTAATCTGAGAAACCAATTATTGCTGCTCAGTTCATTATAATATGCTTTATAGATGTATATACCTTAATTAGGTACACATAGAGAACAACCTTTGTATGGTATTTGAAAATACATCTTTGATATACCTAAATTAAATAAACTTTTAAGTAGAGCATCTGAGCTCATGCTTTTATTCTACTTTCCAATCATTAAAAATAATCACTAAGGCATTTTGTGCATATTGTTAACCTATGCATAAAACAACTCACAACCTGCTTTTGCTCAGTTTAAATATCTAAAATCATTAATGATGGTTAATTTCTATTGATAATAAACAGCCTTATCCAATTCCTAAAAATATAGTTGTTGAACTGCTAACAATGCTAAACATGATGCATAGAGCTTTAAATATATTCAAACATATACCATATAATTTAATAGACAAAGCCCAGTCTTGAGGGTTTTGGCTCCATCTTGTGGTCAAAGAAAGCTTGTTAGAAACTGCTATGATTATATGATTATACAATACAAAGGAGTAAGTAATTTTTTTATAATTCACCATTTAATGTCATTTATCATTTTTGAAGTTTTGGGTCAGAGTTGCTAATTGCATTTAGTTTCAAAAATATATTAAATATATAAAATATATTTTCTCTGCAGGTTTAATTATAACTTAATTTTACTGATTGTACGTTTAATTAATTATATAAGATGTCCTTTATGTTTCTTATGGTGTGGTTTCCATTTGAGTGGAGTAATGTTATCATTCTGCTTATATTCACCGTTCATATTCAACGTACCTGGAGTTGGGATGAATATAACTCCTTCAAGACATCCCCTCTTTACTTGTGTTGACAGGAAAGCCTTTGAGCATGTCTCTTTTTCTATTGGTTCAGAAGTCGGCACATTAGTCTAGCGCTGGTGGATGCAGAATTAATTCCATCTTGAGCATCTTGAACACCCTTGGGTTTCATCGTGTAGGCTATATATCTTTCATTTATTTATGCATCCTCTGGGAAAATGCTAATCCAATACATGCAAAAACATTAAAAAAAAAAGTGCATGCATCCAGTTATTTCAGAACTACATCATTACTACAGTACTTCATTACCTGATCTAGTTCATTATTAATTAATAATAGATTAGTATTAGAACACTGACGAGTTTTGTGCTTACATGGCTGAATGATATGAAGCATAACTGCTGATTTGAAGGATTCTGACACCCCCTGTTGACCATGGAAGTCATAGTGGCCAAATCCTGCAAGTGACAAAGGTAGTGCCTTAAAAATGAAGTATAGAACACAAACACACACACACACACACACACACACACATTGGGTTTCCATCTTTTATGGGGACATTCCGTGGACATAATGGTTTTTATACTATACAAACTATATAGTATAGTTACTATATAACTGTATTTTCTATCCACTTACCCTAACCCTACATCTAAACCTAGCCCTCACAGAAAACTTTCTGCATTTTAGATTTTCAAAAACTTAATTCTGTATGATTTACAAGCTTGTTTCCTCATGGGGACCAAAAATGTCCCTACAAGGACAAGGATTTTGGATATTGCCATCTTTGTGGGGACATTTAGTCTTCATTACATAGGGAATACCTGAACAACACACACACACATTTCCATAACAGCAACAACAACAACAACAATAAATATAGGAAAGCCATTCTTATCAAATAGCCACATTTTTCTTTAAATTTATGACATAGGACATTTACATAATGGGTTTCAGCTGTCTACTGTACAAAGCATGTGATAAAAAGTACAAACATGAATTTTGTTGTATTTATTCTGACCACTAGGGGGAACCAGATCTCCATGATCTACACTTTTTTTATTTCTTTCATTTATTAAGTTTATATATAAATGTGCATTTTATTTTCATATTTACATCCACATAATTATAGTATGTATGTGTGTATATATATATATATATATATATGTATGTGTGTGTGTGTGTGTATATATGTCTATGTATATATATTCAGTTTATATATACATATGCAAATATATTTTTACATTTTTAGATGTATTTTTATTTTCATATACAAAAAAAATTGTGACAATTATTAAAGAATTTAGTTACACACATACACACAGTCAGAACATTAAAATATAAATGTCACTTGTCTTTTGGCAAATATGAGTGTTAATGTGTGACAGTGTGTCCTGAGGGTAAAGTCACAGTCAATCTGAAAGTGCCTTTACATTCTAGTGCCATAGAAACATACACATAAACTCACAGTCTCTAACACTTTCTTTATATCAATATTGTTCTACGTTTCAAAACAAACTATAAAAAAAAAGGAACGACTCACACTAGAGGGCTAGATCACAGTAAGGCAGACACAGATGAGGTATGTTAATATTTCATTCAAAAGAGAATCAATAATTCAGAAAGCTGAAAGTAAAGCGGACACCCAAAAAAGCCAACATGAGACGACAAGCATAGCTGAGGTCAAAGGTCTCTGTCATAGAAACTAAACTCACTTTACAATAAACGTATAAAGTTCGATTCAAACTAGCAAGCAGTCAGTTAAATCACATCAATTAAACACTCGATGAGTGTTCGAACACTGACTCGTCGCTATAATTTTCAACCCTCCTTTCTGTACTCTCAAACTCTCTCTCATACTGCCTGGGCTTTCATCCCGAAAACAGCTTTCAAAATTACAGGCCTCACATTTGTTTTACGACCAAAACAATTATGAAAGTCTAAAGAATCGACTAATTAAAAGGTAATTTCGTCTCATCAGATCACAACCGCACCCCCCTTTCCCAAACATCCCATCTCCAACCTCTCCCCTGTCTGCAGTTGGGGTGGCCCATCAAGGCCTGACATTTAAATGGGCCGATGTTGAACACATGCGGAATGATGGGACTGAATCAGATGGAGCTCCCCGCTGGGATGATTAGTGTGTGGCTACTCAGCCACATTGCTTTCTCTCAATCAGAGCGAAGCGTCTTCATTTACATGCGCTGGCTGCTGTCATTAGTGCTTATGCAAAGGAGGCGACTGATTCTGAGGCCGGCTCACCTGCAGCATCAAAGGCTCGGGCGGTC